ATTCATAGGGAAGGATATTAAGATAAGTTTTTATGTTTTTGAAATTTTGTTGAGAATTTTGAATACGAATTTTATAATTATTCTAAAAATGAAGTTGGTGTTAAAAATAAGTAAAATTATTACAGATACGTAATATGAAATTATGGTAAATGCATGTTAAATTTATGGGTGATTGTATGTTAAGTATAGTGTATGTCGAGGGAGTATTGGTTCCTTCAACAGAGGCCTGTTATTACCTCTGTACAGTTGTTCCTTTTACCCTCTTCATGCAAGATAATGTTGGAGGCTCTCATTTTATGAGTGTTTGTAATTTTTTTATATTATTATTATATTTTTTTATTATGGAATGTATTAGTGCAGTTCTCAAAGGCCAGTTACCTTAATGCAAGGAACGGAGGCCTTTTCAAGTAACTGTCTAGGCACCCTGGGCCACCAGTGCAGAGGACACACTGGTTAGCTCAAGAGGACAGCCCTATTGATGGATATGTTTGTTTAGAAGTATTGCGAGGCTTCCAGTTTGGTAAAATCAGGAATTGTAAATGAAAGATGATAACGATGAAACCATAAATTCTGAAAATCTTAATCCTATTATTTATCATGTTAAATTATAATTTATCAGTATAGAAATAAATATCATAAATATTTATGTGCATTACATTAAATTATAAGTAATGATTATGTAAAAGTTTATTTTGTGATATTCTGCGACAACAAGAACCTTCCCTGAAGAATTATGATTATCTGAACTCTCAAACAAAAAGACTTTTGGACTAAAATGTTGAAAAATTCAATAGGACTCTAAAAATTAAGAATTTATTTAAAAAAAATTGATATTTATAATAATACTTTACAGGATCAAATTTTATTATTTATTTATATATATTTTTTAATTTGCTAGTGTTTTAACTCTTCTCTTTAAAAGGCTTCTCTGTCGCTACTCCTTTTTTCTTTTTGAAGGGGGGAATATGTAAGATAAAAATATATGAATCAAAATTATAGATTAAACTATAAAACATTAATTCTTCCTCTCTATTCTAAAATCGTAATAACTTATCTGCATTGCGTCATTTCTAGATCACTCTATGATCGGCGTAGCTCTGATGACGTAATCATTGGGAACTGAAACTGTCCTTGTAAACCAAAATTTTTCTCCTCGCGTGCCTCCATCTTGCATAACTACGCACTTCAGCTTTTGCTCTCTACTGTGCTAAGATGTAATTTCGCTGGCTTGCTCTGTCTCAACAATATCAAAAATGTAAATCTTCTGTGGAAAGGCACGACTAGAGTGCCAAGTGATTGTGGCCACAAATATCAGTTGAAAATAAAAATGGAATTAAAACTGCCTCGACTGCCAAGTTCTTTAAATACTACGCAATCAAAATCTTCTTCAATATGGGTCTCATCACGCATCTACAGTGTTCCGTCTTTCCTTGTGCTTTTATCTCATCACGCATCGACACTGCTCCGGGTTTTTCTATGTGCTTTTATTATGACATATATATATATATATATAATAAAAAAAATACGATGGCTTTGCTCTTTGCGAACCAGCAACCTTTAATTAATTTTCTGCAATTCAGGATCGTCCCCTAACCCAGTACCTTCTAGAACATTCGCACCTATTACATAACGTCCTCATATAAATGCTGCGTCATAAGTTTTTCTACATTTTTCTAGAAGCTACTCTGTTACATAACCTTTCATAGAAATGCTGCGTCATAAGTTCTCCTATACAGATGCCTTCTCGCCTTCGTCCTGCTAACGCTTCCGTTATGCGCCTCTCTCTTTGTTAGAACGTTGTGACGTATTAAAGTTTAAAGTCAATCGTATCTAATAGTTCAATTACTGAATAAGTTCTTTGATTAACTTCATCTGGAAAAAGTCATCTGCTATAAATTAAAATAAAGATATGCTTGCTGTTAAAAGTGAAAAGTCCCGAGTCGTCATTTCTCTCCGTGCTTCAATCATCTGCCAGAACGTGTAATGGAATAGCCTCACCATTCGCCCACGATGTGTTGGAATAACTGAAAGCATTACATATATATATGTGTGTGTGTGTGTAATAGATTCTGTAGTAGAACGCAGGCGGTTGAATCCGTAATAAACTGCGAGAATTTTGATGTCGTATAATGCTGAAACGCCAATCCCCAATAGATAAGAAATTTGGCTGGCAAGACGGATTTAATTAAGTTTTTATTTCAGTAAACCTGTTGCGGCCACAATCGAGTTGGCACAGACAAAAGCGTAGAAAGCAAGGGTTCAGAGTGAAATCTTAATTCAGACTGAGTTAGTTTTAGTTCTCTATGCATTTTGATTGAGTAGTTAATAGGGCTATAAAATTACTATTGGCTGTTTTAGTTCCATTTACATCGTCGGAATAATGTAAGAGTGGTGATATGACGTAGATTAGTCTCGAAATGTCGCAGTGCAAATAGAAGTCAGTACTTCTATTTGTTATAATAAGAGAAATTAATTTACGCCTGCTAATTTAACCTTTTACATATTCTTTATTTTTCTTTTCGAACTCTTGTAATTATAGAACTTGTAATTAATGAAAATAACTTGTTAATGCATTCACTAAATTTTCTAGAAAATACAATAAAATAAAATAATTATTGTTGATTTCACGGAAAAAGGCTGACTTTTCACAGACCTACTAGTGTTTAGCAACTTGACCGCTGGACTGCTGCTTTATGAAAATAGGATAAAAAGGGGAAATTTTTATCCTATTTTATGAAAATAGGATATTATTAACGTAATATTACGTTAATAATTTTTTAACCTATCCATTATTTTTGTATCTTTTGAAAATACATTATCCGAAAAAGCGATAGTGACCGTAGTGCGGTGAGAATCGACGAGACAATTATCATTAAACTACCTCATAAGTTGCGCCGCCCGGGCGGTATAGTGGATAGGGGAAACCTACCACGATACCAAAGGGCCGGGCTCGAATCCTGGAGAAGGCATGACTCCAATTTTCCTTCCCTTTATAGGAGGTAACGTTGAGGTTCTGTGGAAGCCTTCCACAGAACGTGGCCACCACTTTTACGGGTGCTTCCACAGTAATGTGGCCACCACTCTTGGCCCTAGTAACGGCCAAGCCTAAGTCGGCTAAGTTCCTGCCAAAGGGGAAAAAAACTTCATAGGTTTTTGCTTGGGTAATGATCTCTTGCATAAGGACTATCAAACTGCTTTCCTCTACCTACTTTAAACTTGGTACAAACTTTTAATATATTTTGCTTGGAATTCTTTTACGTTCCATGAGAATGTTTTCATGAAGATGAATTGAAATGTAATACCAAAAGTTAAATTAATTTCGGTGATAAGAATCACGAGGGCAATTAAATTTCTTACGACCTACCGCCTGTGCCAGTTATGAGAGCAGGTGAAAGCGAGCTAGCCCTTCCTTCTTCACGGAAGTTCCTTTTAATTCCTTTTGAATATTGGATGAAAATACTCTTGAACGTGTTAACACATAAAATGTAGCACTAGCGTAGTCGCTACACTTCATTGATGGCCCGACACTGTTCCGTAATAACAATGAAATAAGACTTAAGCAGTTGCAAGTGTTTGAACTACAGATAGAACAGACTGTTGCATGCATTCGGGTTCGTAACGGATTGAATGTACAAGTCGATAAAAAGTTAATAAAATTTATCCTTATCCCAAGAAATAAAACAAAATTTTGAAATTTCCTCAGAAATATTCGTGCAATATCTCACAATAGTTATATTTTAAAGTACTAAAACTTTAAAAGAACACAATTGAAAGTAGAGAAAGTTAATCCGATCTCACCACGAAATCCCTACAATCAATAACAAAAACTTAGTAAAAACTAACTTGAGATATTTTTCCTTCGCTTTTATGGCTTTTTAATTCTGCATGAGAACATTCAGGTTTTTTCTCGATTTTTCTAGATAGCAAAGGAGTACAAGTACGAGATATCTATTTACTAAAATGTTAAATTCGCGTGCTCCTGTATTTTAGTTTTTCCGGCATAACTTTCTCTTAAAATATGTCTAGTGCGCATTGTACGGAAATATAAAACAATTTTAACTATAAATTCCACTAAAAAATAGCTAAATGAATACAAAAACCGTAACAATATTTTAAGTAACATTGGAGCTTATTCAAGTAATAACAATCATTGTATAGTCATTTTAAAATCGTCGTATGTTCACCTAAAAGACAGTGCAAAAAATATTGACGAATTGAAAAGTGACACTGCTACTGCGTCAATGGCAGTTAAGTATTTTAGAAGATGCATTTCGGATAAGGGTTTAAGAGGAGTTACAGAGATGGATCAACCAATACATAAATCATTTTTTTTTAGCATACGTTATTTGTCCAAATTTTAGAATAAGCCCAACCAGTGAATAAAATAATAATAAAAAAGAATTTGGGAGACATACTCTGGCTTTATATTTAACATACTCAAATTAAGATAAGAGAGACAGATTTACCCAGAAATCTACAAGATACCGTCGAACAGTTTCCAGGAAAAGAAATGTATTGAAGCCTTTTTTTCCATGCAAGTTATTTGCTGCAAGTAGTAATGAATTCAAATTTATCCCCCGATGTTCTCCTCCTGATGTTTCAGTTGAAAATTGTTCCACCCTTCGGAGCAAAATGCGAATGCTGTTTAGACGCAGAAGGGAAAAAAAATAAAAGATTAAAGTGCATAGTTTTTAAAATCTGGCCTAATCACAAATGAAAGGTTTTTAATAACTAACGTAATGTGTTAGGTGAAAACCTGATATTTCTTTAATTAAAATAATGATATTTTGAATAATTTATAATAATTTAGACCCTTAAATATACAATATGCCATTTTTTAAAAATTATTTTTAATTATTTTTTTTAAAGACCGATTTAATTTGCCTAGATTAAAATGGCACAGTTCGAATAATTGGATTTCTTCTGATGTAAAGTATGAAATTCTAATTTTAGTATTACGTAGCTTTTATTTAGTTTTTGCTGTATGAATTTTTCTTTAGGTTTAAAGAAGAAACTGCAACAGAAAATTGGGCAGATACGAGCTCGTCCATCGTTGTTGCATCAAGTTTACCAGGTACGAATTTTTCAAAAATTTTTAAGAAAACGTTTAAAGTCATGAAGAGATCAAAATGCATTTTACGAAATCGGCTAACAGAATTTCTTCTGTATGCACCCTTGAACTGTAATTATTAAGTTTCTTAAAATAGTGGAATGTATTACCACTAGCAAATAGTAAACTGCTACCATCTGCTAGTAGTAGCACTGTGAAAGTCAGTGTGCCCATTAAACCCTTCAAATTGAATGTCACTCTTTTAGTCTCGGACTTTCTCCACTACGAACGATTGACTTTGTCACGCTTTGTATTTACGCCTCCGGGTGCAGGTGCTTTAATAGCACCTGTTATGGGCCCAACGCTCATTCTGAAATTCAGGTAAAAACTTGCAGTTGTTGTAGACCAGTAGCAAAGTGAAGATCCAAGATCTCACTCTTTGGTTTAATGAGCATGAGGGAACCATTTTTTAAACAGTGGCTGCTTTGTAGATTTTCGTAGAGTTTGTGGCCATAACTCGCGGAGAATCAAAGAGAGGAAATTTTGTCTGGCAGTCTATTGTAAACTACAGAAATAAAAAAGGAAACAGTCAACCTAAGTTGCTAGTCGCTCACCCATAAACTTTGAAATTTGACACTAAACTACAAGTAATTTACAGTCTTTTAGCAGTAGATGAAAAGGGGAAATATAGAGCAGTAAGAATAGTAAAAGGACTGATTAATTAAAATTAAACCTTACAGTCACCTCCATCAGAATTTAATTAATTAGGAAACCAAGGCCTTACGGATTCTAATAGAGAATTTAAGGAACTACCGTTTAGTATATAAATTCAAGCTTTTATTTCAGTGTTTTTAAGTGAAACATCTTGATTCATCAGCTTCTCCTTCTAGCTTTTCTGGAAGGAAAAATAGTTTAGTACATTGCGATATAAAGATTTAACATACCTTAATGATACAAACTATTTCGCATTTGTACATGCACAGACGTTTACACATGCATTACGTAAATCGCTCCGGTTTGATGTGTGTGTAAAACAACTGTGTTTCTTTCATAAAGCACTCAACTTGTACTTCGTAATCCCAATAAAAATTAATTAGTTTTTCTTCGACAATCTAGACTTCTATACACGATTTCCAAAATGTTGTGTATTTTAAGTAAAATTAAAGTATTCGCTGGAGCGCGCCCATGCATTTTTCTCTAAATTTGTTATTGCATTTCCGGTAACATGTAAACTGTTTGCATGTGAAATATGCAAATCTAGTACTGAAAGTTGGCAATGTGCAGTTACTTTCATTCTCTAGCTGTGTGTCTGTTTTTTTTAATATTGTTTAGTATTAAAATATGCAACCGGCTTACGTTTTTGCATAAGCACGACTGCAACTAATTAGATCAGACGCATCTATAGATATTTCCATTTTACCTTCTGGGTCGAGTAATTTCAAGATCGATGCTTGAAAAGTGATCTTAAGCTTCTCTAAAGCTGTGTTTGCATTCATCGACCAATTGAACGTTTTTTTTGTCCGTTTCGCAGTTATCAGTGGTCATGATATCTCCTCAAATTTCTTTGAATAATGTCCTATACTATGGACATAAATCTGAAGAATATAATTATGATTGCCATGATTTTCGCCTGTCTTATCTTTCTTTATGTTATTTTAGAATTTAAAGCATATTATTCTATTATATTATTTAGCTTAGTTTTAGGAGTTATTTAGCTTCTTCACATTTTGGCGCTTTTAATTTTAGGTCTACTTTTTGCAGTTGTGAAAAACATCGCGTAGGTCATCAGTGTATTTAACAACTGTAATTATGATATCGTCTAGGTAAACAAACGTTGATTTTATTTATAGGAATCTCAGAATGATATTCATAGCTTTTTGAAATGTAGCGGAAACTTCCCATAATTTGAACGGCAGTCTTGAATTGAATAAATAACATATTTAATAATAAAACATTATATTTTGGAATCTCATTGCATTATTATGCAAGTTAGGAGAGGTTAAATCTACAGTGATCATATATTTAGGTGATCTTAATTTTTCGAATTATGTATTCAATAATTGATATGAGCGAAACTAAATATTTTATTATGCTTTTATGCATTGATTTGTTATGCATTAATTTTAAATAATCAACGGGGATGGTATGTGGAATAACTACTACTTACGGAAAGTATAATTTTATTAGTCATTTCTCTGATATGCTTTTCAATAATGACCTATTTGTTATACCTTACACTTGTTCCTTCTATTGTACATTTATACTCATTAAAATCATGCGTGACTACATGCGGCAACATAAGGATCTCTTCAAACATGCATCTAACATAAAAATTTACTTTAAAAAGTCTATAAATATCAGTAAATTACCAATAGAATTTACAGATGGATCTAAAAATAGAAGAAAGTTTGATCAGTCCGTGTTTTCCATAAATTCTATAAAGCCGAAAATCTAAAAATAAGCTGGAAAGAACGCCTGTGCCCAGAAAACACAGTTCTTCAAGAGGAGCAATAGAAATCGAGTTAATAACGGCAGTCAGCTTACAGTTCAACCAGATTCTCGTTCTTCGCTACATGGTATTAAAGGACTTCAAACGTTCTAGTATAATAGCAGAGTAAATCTTTGTTCTCCTCCCAGAAAATAGTCAATTGAAATTTCGCTTAGTTGGGCGAAAGCAGAGGCATAGAATGAAGGAAACGAAGACGCCAAATTTCTTGCGAAAGTCGCAGCTACTACTCCTGACTTCAAAGATATGAAATTAAATAATAAGTCATACCTAAAGAGGAAGCGCACAAGCAAATAAATCGCATCTGGCAGAACGAATAGAACCCTCTTTCCCAAGGAATGAATCAATCAATCTAATAAACGAGAAAAGATGTTTCAGTAACCACCGCTTAAATCAATTCATATCTGGATATGGACCCTTCCCCACTTATTACTGTTAGAGATGGATCTCCATCAGACAACTGTATTTGTGGCGAAAGAGGATCTCCAGAACTTTACCTCTCCACATGCCGATTAACACAAGCTCATCATAACGTTAATTCGACTTTCGAAGACGCATAATAATTAATCCAAAATTTTATCACATAATCAACGATTTTGTAAAATGCCTTTCGAACAAGGGTAAAATATTTGGGAGCAATAACGCTTACGAAAAAATCTCTAATCAGTATGTAAATTCTTCTAAATAGTAACTGCATGAAAATATTGTTACGAATTTCGTACACAGATAGGTAGTTTTAGTGCAATTATATGTGGAGTTGTAATTTTTGTGTAATGTAACATGAAAAATCTAGAGAGAAAAGCTATACCGGAAAAGTAAAAACACAGCGGCAAGTCCATTTAACAATGAATAAACGGGCATCTTGGTTTATCCATTCGTTTCAGTCGGCAAGCTTGGCGAACATTCGGCGACATTTTGGTTAGGTCTCTGTATCATCGTAATAAGTATTGTAACTGATAAATGTAACTGTTCACTATATATTAACTGCAACCGTAATTCGATACTCATATTGCCGTCCAGTAATTTCGAGAAGCTGAAAGTACTAGAAATATCTCGGCGGCCGGGTGAAAAGTATAAGGCCGGAGAGAGCATCTGCTCTCAGTAGTAGTTGTTGCAGTTGTTAGTTTAGCAAGAGATACTGTGAGAAGCAGAAATTTTGGCCAGTGTAGTTGATGACTGTATGGTGTTGGGTGCACTTCCCTAGTTTCTGTCAGACACTGTTTGCAAATCTCTTTGTCCGGGCTAGATCTGAGAGAGACACGAATACAGATGAAACTGGTCTGTTTTACAGAGCTTTACTGGAGTATACATTAATATTTAAATGTGAATCAGCAGCTCGTTCTTTTAAGAAATGAAAAGAACTAGTTATTGTGTTTAACGTGCAATATGAATGCAGCAATTAAATTAAAAGAATCGCAATGGTTATTGGAAAGAGTAGAAAACCTCGTTATTTAAAAGAGGAACAAGAGTTCAGCCAAGAACTTAAGGTTGATAAGCAGTATTTTTACTAATTTCCTTTTGAAATGGGACAGAGAACTGAAAAACGGTTAGATAACTGTGCAGCATACTCCTCTGTCATTGTTGTAAAAAATTAGTCTTTCTTCCTGCAAAGAAGTTGCAAATACAACTTCTGTCATTCAGTCATTATACCAAAGTGTTATAAAAACTTTCTAATGTAATTACAGAAAAAGTGTCTTTCAAAAAAAAAAAAAAAAAAGGATAAAACAAAGTTGAATCTTATGAAAATATAAGCACTAAACCGAAGTTGAATCTTACGAAAATATAAGCACTTCGAAGGAGATAACTATATAACGATATCTTTGCTGGAGGTTATGCATATTATAATCAACTCATAATTAGTCTTCCAGAACGTAGTTAGAAATTGCTTTGGAAAATCTAGTTTTTATTAAGAAGAAGCCACAGAGGAATTGCAAACTATTTCTAATATTTCGGACATCAGTGAGGGAAATTATGAAGATTCGTTGTTGTCGTTGTGACTAATCTTGCTTGTCTGATATGAGAACAAGCCCACGAAATTTATCGTGGCAAGAAGAAAAGATTGCACCTGTCTTTGGTAAGAGACTGAGGCACCATAGAGATGACAGTATGACTTTGCTCAGTTCCACCCTCAGTTTTGAGGGAAAGCATCCCGACAAATGGGTCCGAGAGTCTCTCACCTCTCTTTCCCTACCATCAATTTCCTGAGAGGCCTTTCGGCTCACCTCATAATTTGAGTGCCCGTATGTCACACAAACACTATTACACTTACAAACATCCATGCCTTCTCCAGGATTCGAACCCGGGCCCTTTGGTACGGCAGTCAAAGTCACTAACCAATATCCCGGTTGGGCGTCCGAAGATTCGTTTTTAGAATATGTTGCAACTGATGATAATATTGAAACAGCATGTGAAAACTCTTGACTACGATATTATCTGCAGAAACAAACTGGCAGTGAAAGTGATGCGAACGAAAGTGACTACATACCAACCTCAACTGTATCGAGAAAACGATAAGAAGAATTCTTCAGTTGGAAGGTGGAGATTGGAAAAGCTACCAAAAGCTTTACGAACTTGAAAATACAATTGAAAGACTGTTCTCGAACAATGCGCAGGAAATACAAATAGAGCCTTTGTTTGCAAAAGTGTAAAATTTCATTAGGTGTGTAATTATAAAATTTTTTATTAAAAAATAAATAAATAAAAATCTCTTAAGTTTCGAGAAAAGTTTAATGTTAGTATTAATTTTTAATTAACACTTTAGGTATTAATAATTAGTTACTATACTACTATTAAATAAGTTCAGAGTTGATACTTGTAATCTACAGTACTAAAATCGCCGTTTAGTAAACTCAGCCAGTTATAAAATTAAATATCACAAAGCAGGGCCATCTGTCGAATGCTCCCGAGATAGAAGAAATCGCATAAAAAACAGCACATTTAAAATTAGGAAAAACTATTTAACTAAAAATTTATAAGAGTAAACTGAATAAGATCTCTTAATTCAAATATACTAAGAAGTAATTTTAAAACGCATTGGTTACTGTATTTTAAACTAATTTGCAATACGCTGAAAGTTGATGAGAAGCAAAAATATAGAACATACAACATAATAAGACAACTGGTTAATTAAGATAAAGTCTGAATAACTTGAAGCATCAGTTAAGTGGAACAGAAACAAGAACAAATAGATTTATGGAGCCATGTTTTGTAAGTAAACTGATGATACTCCTACGTGGAATAGAAAATAAACAGTTTAATGCAATTCGTTATCACAATAACTTATTTCCTAACAGAAGATTAGAATCTTAAACTGCCTGTTAAATACTCACATCAACGGAATAAAACAGTATTTTTTTGGGGGGAGGGCTAGTTTTCTTTCAGTAGCAAGCTTCAGTGCCGTGTACCACCACTTCAATGGTTATTGTAGGAGTCATCCCGCTTTTAAACCTTGTGGCAAGAATCATTTTGTATTCTTCAATAAAAGAAGTGGAAGACTTCTTTATAAAGAAAAAATTGAACTTACTCAAGCGTGATCTTTATTTTGTTCGATGCTGAGATATGTTTTATAAGCGGACAATACTAGATATTTTTTTTAATGTATAAAAGAGAAAAATAATGTTTAATATTTTTTTACAGAATCATATAGTTCTTTTCAAATGGCAGACAAGGCAAGAGAAGTAAATCAAGATACCACAAACTGTGAAGATAAATGGAATCTTCAGCAAACAGTTAAAGATTTATTGAATCTATTTACAGATTCCTCGCTTTTCAGGTGGATAACCATTTTTATAATGTTAGTGGTGGTGGTCCTTTCCTGTTATATGTTTTTAAAATTGATTGGTAAGTATTTTACTTGCATTAGTGATAAATAGTAGTATTTATTAGTAATATCCATCGAACTACACTGGATTTTGAAAGAGGCAAAAACTATTTCTTTATCTTTTGGACCTAGGTGAAATGCTTAATTTTCTGATTTGAGAAATGTTTTAAGTTGATACATGTATAGATAGATGATGATAAAGAACTTTGTATTCTTGCCTGTGAGATATTTTTGCATGAGAATGAGCAATGAAATCTTACGCATCAGTTTATAAGGAATATACGCAGTTTTAAATAAAAGTAAAAGATTTTTATAATGCATAATTACTTACTTTGAAACAATGATGTATTGAAGGAAAGAAATAAATACATTTTACCATTATTCTTTATTTCTTTCAAAAGGAATTTAGGACAAAATTTATTAACTGTGGAAAGCAGCCCGTCCGTCTGACCGCAAATGGCCCTATAACTTAATTAGGTTGTCTCAGGTAGAAAGACAGTCGCAAAGTCACGCAGCGCACACATTAAAGTGGAATTCACGCTGTTAATCGATCGTTATTGATGTAATTCATAATCTTTCTTGACCTTCTAGCCATGTCAAAATTCGTAAAAATTCACCTCCCGTTAAAGTTCCATTTGCGGTAAAATTTTTCCTTATATCTAAATGTTGGCATGTCTCCACGAAGTGTTAAGTGTCATTAATTTTTTTGTAGCTACCGCAGAGGTCAGAACTTTGAAGATTAAATATTTTAAAGCAGGAACATTTCCCTTTAAATTTGGATTTATATCTGCCATTTATATGTTTACCCTTTTTTGATTGTCATTAGTATTATATATAATTTATACTTTTGCCATACATTTTTCTTCACACAATTTTTAGGTTTAATTCTTCCTAAGGGTCTTGTTTACAGTGCATCTTTATAGTATCATGGTATATAACTTTGAATGTCTGCTTGATTACAAGATCATTTTAAAAGTTCTTTCTGTATGCAGTGAAGCTTCTTAGTATCATGGCATATAAGTTCGAATGTCTGTTTGTTTGTAAGGTCATTTTAAAAATTCCTTCGGTATACAGTGAAGCTTTATAATATCATGGCATATATGTTCGAATGTCTGCTTGCTTACAAGTTCATTTAAAAAATTCCTTCTGTATACAATGAATCTTCAGAGTATGTACGATATAAGAGAACATTACTCTGAAACTATAATGAAAGTCTGCATTGTTTGTTTTACAATGTCTTGCTCTGCATGTCGTCTTCATTTTCATCCTCCTGCTCCTCATTGTCTTGCGCCTTTTCCAGTGTGTTTATTCAGTCGACATCTTAAGAGCTACGGGAGCAGAATTATCCATACCCATCCAAGCTTGCACCTTTTCTTCACTAACACTAATCTCGGAATATGTAAGGATATCCAAGATAAATGACACGGGCGCCGGACATGTTTTAAAACCAAGAGAATCTTTGTTACTCGACTTGTCATCTACGAACGTGATCATGGGCTGCAATTTACCCCAACAGCGGCGTTATGTTCTTTATATATTTCCAGAAAGGATACTAGGCAAATATACCGTCCTTCAGTGTGAATTAATTCTAAAAATCGTGTACTATATTTAAAGATTTCACGAGGACCCATAAGAGAGGTTTAATAGTTCATCTTTATATTCTGGTTAATTATTTGATTCATTAGTAGTATGACGCTTGTTGCGTTGGGCGGCAGAAGCATAATAAAAATGTCTTCAAAATGTTATGAGGAATTTTACTTTATTTCAAGGATTGTTGATTTTCGAAAGAATTGCAGAATATTTGGACACTTCAAAGCCTATTCCTTTTCTATGGCACTAGATTCTGCGGTATATAACTTGAAAACCATGTACTTTTCAGGCTTTCCATTGTTTAAAATATTTGATTTAAATGGGTAACTTGGTTTTTATCCGAATCTACCACTCCGTTCTATCAGTATTATCCGAGTCTATACCTTCATTTCCATTAGTATTTATTTGATTTGTAGAATTTAGAATCTTCTTGCTACATTTAAAGTTATTAAGTATGCATAAAAATTATTACTTAATACTTAAAATAAATTTGATTTGGAATTTCGGTGGATTCCGTTGTTACACAGTGAAATGATTAACAACGACTGCCTTTTTCAGATGTCCGCAAATAAAAGTAATCCATATTTCTGAGAACATAATAAATAAGAGAAGTGAACATGAAAAATTGATTTGTTTTAGAAGTCGACTATCTCCAGAGAAGACCAAAATTCTTTCGAACCGTGCGTACTCGTCTTGAAAAAAATGCATCTATTGCACCTTTGAGATATTTATGCTATGAATTATTTTGAAATACATTTGCTATTAACATATATATTTAAGTTACTTCAATTGAAGTATCACAAAATGTTTTATTTTAATGATTTTAAATATTTTAGTTTTCGTATATGTTCTAAAACTATGTATTATTAAATTTTTTAGGTTTTGGAATTCTACCTTTGGAAAGAGTAACTCATTCTAAAGAGAAGCTGCTTGTCAAAATACCAAGTTATGAAGAACAAGCAGGTGTATATTTTAAATTTCCATTCGAAATATTTATGTATTTATCGTCTGTGTGATAAAAAATAAATAAAGAGACTTTGTCCTCAAATTAAACTTATTTTTAAATTTCAGAGCTATCAGTGAATGAAATTTTCCAGCAGATCAAAGGCCAGCCTCTAAAATTAAAATGCAAAATTCGGAATGTGAATTGTATGAAGGGGAAGCATCATGTGAAAGGTATGGTAGTGAATTAAGTGATATAAAAAATTCAAGTGAAAAGTGTTTTGCGTGTTTTAAATTAAACAGACTACAGAATGAAATTGCAGTACTTTTCAGTAAAATCGCATGTGATGTATGTGGCACTCTCCCTAAATTACTTTTTAATAGACCATCTTATTCAAAACAAAAAATCGCATTATGATGTGCATAAATTACGCGATATCTATTTCCCTATCAGTATCAAAGATTGATTTTTTTCGAGGTGTTAAAATATCTTTGTCACAGCTTCGTCATTTCGGTAAAGGAACAAATAACTGAATGATCATCTAGCTAGTAATTTCAAAGGCTATTGGAAGAGAAGGAAAAGAAGACATAAAATTAATGATAAAGACAAATTTTAAAATTGCGTTTGAATAATAAGCATACAGCTGTCAATTGATTTAATTAGTTATCATTAGTGAAACTTAAGCTCAGACTTGATGCTTGATTTAAACTCAAATTGCATGAAAGATATGCAGTTTTGGTTAACCAACTAAATAGTTAATTCTTGAAATTTTCTAATTTCGTTTTGAATATAGTAGTTTATTTGTTTGTCTGAAATGTTTTGTAAGTTTATATCTTAACTGGTATTATTTTTAATTTACAGAGTCTGGAAATGAAAATATTTTAAAGGGAGCTGAAAGTCTCACTGAAAAATTAGAAGTTCAGAGTTGGAATCTAAATTGTGTGATCGAGAGTATTTTAAATGATTCCAAGCTCAATGATGTTCCTTCAAAAAATATTGTGAGGCACATGCGCAATAAATATAATATTCCAGTTATAAAATTTCACTCAACTGAAAATATAGAGCCTAAAGTAGAGGATGAAGGCTTTGTTGCACAGTTTTATGATTATTTGAAGAGAATGAAAGATACATGTTGTGGAGTTTTTCAGACGTGTCTTGAAATTCCTAAAACAGTTTTGAAAGTAGGGAAAGCATTGTTGTCAACCTGTCAAGAATACTTCAAGAAGTGGGAAAAGAAAGTAGAAATTTTGATTGCAGTGCTATTTTTTGCATGTGTTGCTTTCAAATTAGTGCTTCCGGATTATATTATAAACTTTGAGAAATATGTCATATTTTTTTACTTTTCGATTAATTTTATGTATTTTACATTAGTATTGCTTCAATGGACATAATTTAAGTCCACAGGCTGTCATATGTTCTGAACTTGAAATTGTCAAGTGGTAAAGTATTTTAACACCATATATTCAGCTTTTTGTAATTTAATAAGCAAATACAAACTGCCTATAAAATGCAGAACTGTTTTGTGATGTTGTAATCCTATGCATGATTAAAATATGTTGAATAAGAAATACAAGAATAAATAATCTTTTTTATTCTTAAAAATATTGATTGTATCTTAAAAGAATATAAAAATACTTAAAAATTTTACCGTAATATGTGTGCTTCCGTGTAATATTTCTACTGTTAGAAATGTTTCATATCTCAGAAGAAACGATTTCATTTAATTCAGCATTCTAATTGTTAAATTGAAATTCTAAAATACAGTGGTTATTTTTAATGAAGTTTGGAAAGGTTTCATAAAGAGGGCATAAATTTTAATATTCAGAAGTGAATACATGCTAATGCTATTTCTCGCACATTAATACTTTCTTTAATCTGTTATCAGTTATTGTGCGTCATAATCTTTGGAGTTAACTGTCTGGCCATTTAGAATCCTGTGCATTGAAAACCAAAATAAGAGCTCGTATATAAGCTTTCGCTTGTTACCACTTCATACTTTATTTTATATTTTCGTTGTGTGGATATATCATAATCTTTGGAGTTAACTGTCTGGCCATTTATAATTCTTCACATAATTTCATTTTAGATTACTGTGCATTGAACACAAAATAAGAGCTCGTATATAAGCTTTCGCTTGTTACCACTTCATACTTTATTTTATATTTTCGTTGTGTTAATATATCAACTTAGCAACTTTTCAAATTTTCAAAACTGCATTTTGAAAGCCATCGTACTGTGCTGTATCGCTAGATCGCGTTATTTTTTAACTTCAGAACTGTTTGTCTACTGACTACTTTTAGCCTAATTCTGTTATGTATTTCAAGAAGTATAGATTCATATATTTATATATATATATATATGTACATAAACACAAAACGGTTTCTATAAATAAAAAAAATTTAATTTTTCCAAGAATTTTCTCGCTTTTTGCAACAGAAAATTGATCAGTAAAACATAAAGAAATTTAGAACCAATTTTTCACAAAGACCAAAAATGAAATTCAAATAAATAAAAATAATTAAAAAAATCCTGTAATTGTACAATTAGAATTATGTAGATGTTAAAAGAAAATTAAAATAAACCATCACAAGAAAAAACCAATAACAAATAAAAAAAACCTTAAAGAAGAAGAAATCCAATCAACTCCAATTCCTTTTCCATAAGAAAGAGTAAAAAATATATAGGAATGGTTAATCATCTAATTCTTGTTGCGGAAAAGCAAGAACTTTCTTATGGAAGAGGAATTTCAGTTTGAAGACATCAGTGACTGAAGATTATTACGAAATCGTGCTAGATTAGTATTAGAACTGTTGAGAAACCTTTTGCTGTAGGATTTTTGACTGTATTATTAGTCATTAATTACTTTGTTGCTGTAATATCTCAACTTTGGCTATGATTTTAGTTTTAAAACTGTTATGTAATATTCTAATGACTATTTCTTAATTAAAATTTTATTTTTTTTCTATTTGTTATTTACTTTCAAGGCTGAATTTATGCTAAACTCCCGTAATTTGTGTATTATCAGTTCAGTAATGATATTGATTATTGAGAAAATACTAAAAGAAGATATTAAAAAAATCTAGTTTTTATTGATGAATTTCTTACTGATATTTGACTTGATCCAAAACAGAAAGAAGACTGTCGACAGCAGGAGCTGAAATAGAGGTTGATATCTGATTTGAATTCCCTAACCTATTTTAAATAGGTAACCTTGGATTCATTTTTATTGCTGGCTTCAATATATATTATGTGGGATTAAGTTCAGCAAACAGCTTGGCGATAAAATCAATTTTGCGCCAAATTAGGAAACTTTATTCTCGGTATTTTATATTCCGTATTTCCTTGAGAAAACGTTTTGCAAATGTAGTTCTGTTATTGAAGAAATACTTAAATTATAGAAAAAAACTTTCTTTGTTAGATTTTGTCGCCATAAGCACATCTACGGAACTTTTCCCATTGCATAAAATGAGTATGACCGAAAGAAAAAGAAAAGCAAAATTTTAGTTCTTCGTTGTTCTTGCTCTGTTTAAAAATACAAAGTTAGTAACTAGAAGGATATCAGGATATCAGCCGCTTCAATGTAAATGACACCTTTTAAATGACCAGTTATGTATATTATGTATTTAAATATAGTTATAACTTTTATGTTCTTTTAACATTTGCTTTCTTTTTCCATTTTATGAAATATGTTTAAATATAAAAAAATCTGCGAACATAATGCTTTCGCAATATACATTAAAAACCAATAAAGGTATTCATAGATAATATATAAAAGCATAGCCCATAAAACAGTAAAACATAAATTTCAAATTAGTATGAATGAATGCCCCACGAGTTCCTAAATTTTGATTTAAAAGGAAAGATTACGTTTTTTACAATGCAACTAATAATGCATTAATAAATTATCGGTTTCTTCTTTCAATTAAAAACAATATCAGTGTTCACAACTACCTCTGAATTAAATTTCAAACATACATTCTTTAATTTGAAATCACCATTTTTAAAAGTAAAGTAAAATTGCTGTTGTTCATTATTGTATATGAGTGTGATAATAAAAATGTTATTTTGAACTGAATTGCATTAGGGAAAAATTGTCCTCGACGACTTCATTACCAAACTGATGATTTTGTCTGAAAATTTTGTTCTAATTAAATTTTACTGAACAATGACAACTTCTTGAAAATTTAATTAGTAGGTATATGAGATATGCCAAGTTTACTTGAATCTTTTGAAGTTGCTGAATAACTGCCATTAGATTTAAAGACTTGCTTTTATTTCTTGAAGAAGAGTTTAAATATTCGACCAAGGATTTTTTTTTTTTGTATAAGAAAAGATGTATTTTTGGTATCATGTATTGGTAATAAAAAGTAAATTAAATATTAGGATATATTTTCATTCTTAATGCGAAATAACATTTACATAGCCAATTTATGTGCAACATTTCATGAAATTTCATTGGATCAAAAAGAAGAAAGAGAAAAGAAAACATTTTAAAGACCTAAAATTTAATAAACGCAATTGAGGGACTTAGACGACAACCGATAAAGATTTATTAATTTCTTATTTTCTGTTATAAAAGTCTGTCATGATTTATGCGAAAATTTTAAATTAAAATTTAATTTCATCAAATTAAGGCGTATTAATTAGGAATATTATGAAATTAAATATTAAAATCTAAAGTAGGATCTAATTATGACAAATTTTAATTATAAAAAAATGATATAAGTTGATATCATGGGGAATCCGGGAAATTTTACAACTAATAGAAGAGCAAAATGAGATGATAGCAGATTTCTTATGATTGCTCTTAATAGCACAGTACTGCTCAAAATAGTTAAGAATATTGTTTCCTAAAATTTTGGCTGCGTATTTTAATACGTATTATATATTTAACATGTATTATATGTTTTAATATGTTTATATTTAAAACAAGAATTTTTCATTATTTAATAAGTTCGACATTAAAAACACAAAGCAGTTTACAAAACTCTCATTTAGAAGCTCGAAGGGCATTCTTGAGAAATCATAGAAAACAATTAAGGAAGTTTTTCACACACCCTTAAACTTTATACGTCTCGTTGTAATCATATTGTTATTGAAAAGAAAAGCTCTACAAAAATAAATGTCACATCAATGGCTGAAAAATGCTAAGCTCATTACACTTGAACCCACGCTAAAGAGCTACGCACTACGCAGTATCTAAAATAATCACTAAACTACAGCTCTCTAACTGTAATCTGTACCCTCGCATCACTTCTCATTCCATAACGCAGGTAATATCTAATTTCGTGAAAGCCTGATCCTTTTTTTATTAAAAAATAATTTTTCTAGCACCATTATAACATACCTCGGTTTACATTAAGAAACATTTTCCGCTATTAAAGTGGGAGCTCTTTCGCTTATGTAGCTAGATGTGTATACTTTGCTTTTTTAAGTAATTTGGCGTAGCTTAATTTTAGTTGCCCCATTCAAAAATAAAAATCCATATAATGACGTTTTCTAATTGTTAAAAAGCTATTTAATACTTGTGTGTAGCTTTGTGAGTGTCTTATTTGCACGAATGTGAAATATATCAAAACTACACAATGAGGAGTGTACAAAAAATGGTCATTGAAATATTAATTATATCCTACAGATTACTTTCAGGAACTTCACATTGCAATTTAATTGATTTCAAAGTTGCAATTTAATTCATTACAAGTAATTTTAGAAATTTTCGTCTGTTTTTGTTAATATTTGCGCAATTTTTTTGTTTTTTTATTTATTCATTTGTCTGATCGGAATTGATTTGCGAGAGAAGGAGCAAATACGTATCTTAAGAAATCGGAATAACTAATTAAACTACGACACACCTGTACAGCATAAAATTAATAAAAACTTTAGCAGAGAAAATCACTTAAGAAAGGTTCTTAAAATTTGTAAGACTTAAAATTATGAGTCATGTTACTTTTTGAAAGATGATACAAGAATTTATAAAAATACATCACATATAATTTATATCTGCTTAAAAGCCTGTCAAATAAAATGATATATAGTTATTATAAAAAATATATGAAAAACGTTTTGAGCTACATGTTAAACAATTACATGTTTTTTTTAATTACATAATTACGTGTAATCAGCCGCCCAGACGCTATAGTGTTTAGGGAAGCGCCTGACTGCGATACCGAAGGGTCAGGGTTCGAATCCTGGAGAATGCATGTTTGTAACTGCCCGACCCTTCATAGGATACGATGGTGGCCCACCTATTAGGTACCTCGAAAATAAAGAGACCACCACATCTGACCTTGTATAGATTAATGGACTGTGTTACACTGTAACTGTTCACAATCTGTTATTGGAAAAAGAAGTGTGTTTTCAAAATATAAAAATAATGAAGTTAATTCATTATAACATGTATGTAGATAATTTTTTAACCATTTTTAAATATGTTACGGATTTTATGTTGTGGCTGTGAAGTTAAACTTCAGTAGTTGTTATTTGCCATTATGCACGATAAATGATATGTTTCAGACCAAGTAATTGATTGCTAAGATAAAATTTAGAGCAATATATTCAAGAATATCTTTTGTATTGTGATCGAAATCAGGATTTCATGACATCATTCCAACATTTAGTAAAACTAGATTTAAGCAGATACCGATTTTTTAATTTTAGTTTTTTAATGAAGTGTTCTATAATTAGAGCTTTTCAATTTTGTTTTATCCGTATTCAACATTTTATTCGGAATATCTTACTATTTCTTAAGACACAGTTTATTCTTTTGAACGGGAAAATGTTTAGACGTAATAAACAGTTAAGTAACTTTTGTATCAACTGGTATCGGGGCAAATGAATGGAATATTTAATGTGGGTCTTGTTTTTTTATTCTTTATTGAATTATTATGTTCATTAAATTTTCATAGTTTTGAGAAATATTTTATGTAACTTGTTTATACACATCGAAAGAAAACAATCAAAAGGAAATCCGAAGTTTTACTTTTGAATGTATGTAGCTTTGATAGTGTATTTCATTTTTCAAAGGACTTATAATTAAAAAAAAGGACTATAAAAGATAAGAGACTTGTAATTCGAAGGAATTCATTTTATTTCTCTTTTAATGGTAAATTTAAATTTGTTCTCATGAATTAAAATTTGAGACTCGCTTATGAAAATGAAATGAAATTGCTAATTATCTATGAATGACGAAAATTAAATTTCTTATTATCTGTCAGAGACATAAACGATTTTGAATGTTTCTTCATATTAAAAACTGTTGTTAATATGAGAAAATATTTAGAAAAAGACATTTTTTATTTATAAATTTTTTGAAACGGGTTAGGAAATTGTTTTGTTTTTGACGAATGGACAATTCAGTTTTATTTAACGTCCATTTGAAAATAAATTATAAGAATATTTTTTAGAGTTAATTCTCTTAATTGCATTTGTGCAATAAGCACCATCCATTTAATTCCATTTTGTTATGCAAATTTGCTTCAAGTCGGAGAACAAAGTTTTTGCGATAAATTTTAGAAGAAAACAGAACCGAGAATTAAAACAAGACATACTACTGGTACAATATAATAAGAATCTTAGATATAGTTTTACATAAACTGCTAAAATCTGTTAGTATAGTTTTATATAAATTTCTGGAAATGCTTGCACTAAAAATTAACAAACATTACTTATTTGAAGAAAATCTAACTCGTTAATATTACTATAATTTAGTCAATATTACCATTTCATCGAATTTATATTTGAATTATCTAAATAATATGTCTTTTATATTCTGTAACTGAAAAATGCATTATCTTAATAATGCAAGGAAGATAGCAGTTACTATTGTTGATATGCTGTATTTGAAAATGTCTTCAAAAATAATTAAAATAACTGAAACATGAACTTCTTGTTTTACTCTTACATATATATGAAACAACGAAACACTATGTTTTATTAACAGTTAAAGTAATTTTATTTGTGTATCATTATTTGAGTAACTATATTATTCTGAGGTGAACTTAGATTTTGTGCCTGAATATGATCATAATAATGCAAAAAGATTGAACTTAGATTTTGTGCCTGAATATGATCATAATAAAGCAAAAAGATATATCTATTGCATTTTACGTAAACACAAGGCTAGCCACGTAAATGTAGTTTTATAAATAAGCTTTGAAGTCTTTCTTAGCTGTGCTATGTAAGTATGTGTGTGCTATGTAGTTTTAATAATATTTCTTTAAAATTAACACCGCTTTTGAAAATACATCATTTATGAAAATAAAACTGGAAAAAATTCCCACTTTAAAGCATACTGACTTTTTATATTTATATGTAAAGATAAAATTAAGCTTAAGAATCATTTCTAACATGTTCACATTTTCTAAAATTTACTCAAACGGCATTCACTGTTCCATTTGAATATTCTTACTAATGTGAACATTTTAAATAGTTGATTTGAATAAAAGGTCTATGAATTTTTATAGCAGGCAATTGAGGCTTCTAAGAGTCCGACTGTTTTGTTTCATTTAGTGCAAAACACTGTTCTTGCATAGGATGAGTAAAGAAAGTGAGGCAGCAGTGTCGGGACAAGAAGTGTGATTTACAAAACATTTCGAAACTATTTGATATCTGACGTGAGAAGTGATACGAGGCTTTCACTAAGGCCTTTCATGAGCTGACACACAGCAGTTTACAACAAATAAACATATTATTAATATTTCTATCCGTATAAAAAATTTCTCTGTCTATAATTCAGGTAAGTTCTTTTTACAGAGCCGCCATTGTCCATTGACGGCCGGCTTCTACGTTGATTGTGCATTACGTAAAAGTCGTGTACAGAAAAAAATAGATTCCTATACAATTGGCTATTTTTCTCTACATCTATGTACAACTCGTCACAGTGTAGGTTCCTGCGACTTTTCATTAGATTAGAAAGTTTTTGCACCACCGAATGGATATAGCCTCACTCGGTTGATCACTTAACTCTTTTCATCGTCCAGCTGCACTGTCGTGGCACAAGGTTCAAATTTGGTTTTTTACACCTCATCACAAGTCACTTTATCTTCTGTCTTCCATGTATATAAAATAATTCGAAGAAATGAAAAAAAAAAAAGCATTGCAAAAACCTAAAAAAGAATAAACATTCGTTGCAGATATGTATAAAAATAAACTTTGGAAATTGGAATTATAATACCTGATATTTCTATCTGAAAATTAATTTCTTTAGAATTTTCGGGGGAAGGAAAACAAATTTTATAAGAAAATCCATCAGAGAAAGTATTAGTTTACAGCACAGCTGCAGAATGTATTCAAAATTGAAGCATAAAGTAAAATGAACGTAATTTCTGATTAGAAAGGTTTCAGTTTCCTAAATTATTTAATTTTCAGTGTTAAAGTTACTGCCTTGACTGGATTTGAAAATACAGCAAGAAAATTCTGCTACATTTCATAAAAGCAAGCAATTATGTTTTTGGATGGAAATATACGGATATTGAATTTATGTCATTTAATGACTTGTACACATGTTATTTTTATAGGTCCTTTACATTTATATAGCATATTTACATTTATGAGATTTAACTGTGAAAAATAGTTGAAAAGTTAAAAGTTATTTTGCTTAAACTTCGGTATTACAAAATCTAAATACATTTGAAATATATTTCGTTTACGATGATTTAACTGCCTTTCTCAGTATACGTTTATATTAATAAAAGTGTTAGGAATAAAATATTTCATTTTAAAAGGCCAAAAACTCTGCTGCGTTAAGTTGTTGCCTTTTTGCTTTAGTCAATATTTATTTATTTCAGAAGTTTTGATGTAATCAGTTTGATTATGAATAAAACTGAATATTTAATTTTTTCCCTATAATATAGGAAGAGTGCCATGTGAAGAAATGGAAGGATTTATTTAAAACCAAAATAATTATATTATTGTTAAAGCGAGGAAAAAATATTCAGCAAAACTCCTTCACATATCAACATACTCGGGGTGAAGTACCTAATATATTAAATTGCATGACAAATTATTTTGTGATAATTTTTTATAGATTTTTGTATTCATTCCATTAACTCTTTTCTTAACTAAAGAATACTGTAAATCGATATTTATAAATAAACGGGCGATATTTACATGTATATGCTATTAACTGACGAAATTTAAAAGTAAAAATAGTAGTTCACAAATATTCATAAATTTTAACAAAATAATAAAAGGTATGACAGTCTATTGGTTAGTGTTTTCCAATAAAAATTATTATAATAATTATCAAAAATTACGTCTCACTCTTTTTTTCCCGAACTATTGTGTTATTACCAATTTAGTTGATTATTAAAATAGATTAGAAATAAAAGCTATTGAGAAAATCATTATACCAAAGAAAAATTATTATCATACCGAATCTTTAAACACTCGCCCCATCCTAAATTTTAAAAGTGGGTATGAAGCACACAGAAACAATACGATATTTTACAGCTGGACATTTGGGACATTCATGAGAAAATGAGCTTTCTCAATGGTGATTACGCAAAACCGAGTGAGGCATTCTCTCACTGACGTCGCTTTGGGGCCATCTCTTCACAGTCCAGAGGTGGTAAGAGGCACGGTGGTTGTTCATGGCCGCAACTGGTTGCTGCTCTCCGGGGGTGGCGGCGCAAGGCTCGTCGACTGGTAAAAGGTCTCTGACCGCTGTAGGAAGCTGGTTTCAGGCCGACCTCCCTGCTCCATGTTGTTGAAGCAGCTCTCAGACTTAGGCCTCGGAAGGGCATTCCTCAGGGTCTTTGAAACTGCCATGGCAATGGAGTGCTTCTTGAGCTTCTTGTTGCGGAAGGCTGGTGGCAAGCCGTCGCTGTCGTCACTGCTGTCACAAGGATTATCGTGCTCGTGCGTGGACAGCAGGATGGCGTTGACGGCCTTCAGGTCATGCTGCAGGTCCTCGCGGTTCGAGACGAGGCTTGGGTTCTTGCCGATCTTGTTCAGGCGCTCGGCTGCGATCGACTCCATGGTCCGCCGCATCAGCGGATACATGTTGAGGACGGCGTTGAAGTGCTCCACTGACAAAGAGAATAGATTGCAGTACGTCTCCGCACGGACACTCGCCACCCGTTTAGCATTCGTCAGTAGACAAATTTCTGTAGGGGTAGAAAGTGCATTATTAGTAATAATAAAACCCTCCTTTTATTATAAGCATTGATAATGACTGATTAGTGAAATTAAAGAAATCCCCAAAAAATGTCCATTGGAAAAAAGGGAAACTGTAATTAAGCAGCCTTTTCTCTGTAAGATTTTCGATAAACAATTATTGATGGAATAGACTGCTACACAAGATAGTTGAATGGAATATACTGCTGTGAGAGATTGCCCAGTAGAGCAAGTTTGAATAATTTTCCCTGCACTTAACAAAAAATTGAATGTTATCGAATTTATTTAATGAATAATGTAATTCGAAAAATTCATTAGTCAAATAATCTGTTTTCAACGGAAAAAATAACTGAGTAAATTTCATTCAGAAAATGTTTAATTTTATATAAACTATAAGTCTGAAAGTTTTACAGAAGTGTATATTAAAGTTTCATGCATTTCTTTGCCTGGAATTTTTAAAATCTCTTTTATTCAAGAAAAATCTAGAGAAAAGGACTCCTAAACGTACCGATTAAGAAAAATGTTCAAATAGGATATTAAAAATTGACTTCTAAACACACCGATTAAAAAAAAAATTTCAAATAGAATATTAAAAATTCCCCAAAATTAAAGCTTTTCTTAAATTAACAACTTACGTAAGAACTAATATACTTTAAATGCAGAATTTCATTATACTTCTTGGAGAATTTTAGCCTTAAAAATAATATAACGCCAGTCTCTTCTATTTAGACTGAAGTAATTGTCTGAAATACTAGGTCTGTCATGGTTTTAGATAGAAGCTAGTTGAGTTGGTTTTTTGTGACATCACCCTTAATGTCTACTCTATAAGTTACGTGAGTTTATTCTACAAATTAATATTTACTTTCAAAATTGATTATTTAAGATTTTAATCTTCAATTAGAGCCTGGAACCTGGATCCATACGATAAAAATTGAGGAAGACAATCGTTATAAAGCAGGTACTAGAAGCAGTTCACAACAAAAAAAGTAAAAAAAAAAAAAATTGTAATATACTGGCAACTCGTAGTTGCTAGTGGATTATCTGCTAACATCCGAAATCGAACAGTTATTTCTTCTTAAATCACTTTTTGAGATTTTTGTAGCCTGATGTTACTTCAGTTCCCACAAACCGGTTCTGCAGATTAAATTTAAATGCATAAAATGAGCTTGCTTCCCTTTTTTCTTCTGATACGACAATCTTTTTTTTTTTTTTTTTTTTTTTTTTTTGGGGGGGGGGCTCGTAATACTTTGATTAGTATGGTAAATTATAAACACAGATCCTATTAAGGATTGGTTTACCTCCAAAATAGGATCCATCGGAGAGACTGGTAGCTACTTCCCCATTGCTCATAACAATGTCAACGATGCCTTCTTGGATGAAATACATTTTGGTGCCAATAGTACCTTCTTTGATGATGACGTCACCAGGCTGGAACACCTCATACCGTAACTTCGTCACTACATCATTTACAAAGTTCTGGTCTGCATTTGCGAAGAAAGGAACAGAAGCAACTAATGCTCTACAGTTATAGTTGATTACATCCTAGTGAAGAAAAATATACTTTTTAGAAGATACATTATTTAACAAACAAACGTTTAGATGATATTCAGTTGAAAAATAAATGGGTACGATAGATTCTTGAAAATCTGACATATGTGAGACTGAATGGTTATTGGATTATCAGAAACGACGGTTAACATTGGACTACTAAAGACTGGATGTTAAGGTAGAATTGCTAAAGAAAATATGATATTTAGTTCTAACTTAACATGATAAGTATAGCCATACTTATAAGGTATGTCTACCGCTTTTCTAGTGTGCCTTCGTGGTGTAGTGGTTCTGCACACTGGGCCGGTATTCCAGAGGTCCCCGGTTCGATTCCCGGCGAAGGCAATTGCTACTTTTTCATCTCTCCGGCTTCCAAAAATCCAAATGTCTGTACTATTATAAGTTGAAAACAAAATTCATTTTTATTTTTCCATATTTTTTTATTCTTTAACTTTATATTATTTGACAAAAAGGGGTACGACAGATTATTGACTATCTGACATATATGAGACTTAATGGCAACTGGATATTCAGAAATGTCGGATGACCTGTGACTGCTGAAGATTGGATGCTAAACTAGAATTTCCAAACAAAATATATTTAGTTCAAACTTAACATGGTAAGTACAGACATACTTACTGTAAGTCGAAATGAAAACAATTTATTATTCTTTCACATTATTTACTTCATTTCACATATTTAGTAAACTTTGCACTAGAAAATAACGATATGTATGACATGATAATAGAAAATAAATAAGACACGATTAAATTTAGAAACATGTTAATACGTATTTTCTAATATTAAAAAAGTGAGATTTACAGGCAACTAATGTCGTAGGTTTTCTGACATTATTGCTCTTAAGAGCAACTAGGTGACGCTAAAGTCGAAGCAATGTGATATTATCCCTAGTAGCCTCGGTTTGATAGCAATGCAGACAGTGTAATCTTAAAAATGAAATATGTGTTATTTGGAATAATAGACTGGTGGACAGTTGCTAAGGACGGATGACAGTAGCAGACATTGCAACCACAAAATGGAGGAGAGGAAAATGTGGTAAAACTTACAATTGGTATTTAACTCAATTTCTAACGGGGCACGGCCCTTTTCCGAGTTATCTTAAAAGATTTAATCTTCGAACCTCGGATAACTGCAGCTGCGGTGAAGTGGGGGATCCAGATCATTTCCTGTTTTCACTGCAGTTATACCTCTCAAACACATCACATTTGAGGGAAAAAAAAAACGAGTGAAAATATCTGGCACTTGTGGATTGAAAATGTATTAGAAATTAAAATCGCACTTAACAAACTTTCACAGGACCATAAAATGGTATTGTGCAGCACAATATGCCGGTAGGGACTAAACTCTTTCTACTTTTTTTTCTTTGTAAAATCTGTAACTTATATATCTTATCAGAAATTCCGTTGTAATTCTGTTGTGGTCCTTATGGAGTATTCTTATTTTAGTGTATCTCTATAATATATTCTTAATAATGTTTGTAATACTGCGATTGTGTCAACTGAATAGTATCACTGTATTTTTGATTTTTTAAGTTTTTCCCTAAAAAAACACATCTAGTGGGTTACAGCCGAAAACATCGCGCCAAAAACATCGCAGACGAAAACGTTGCGGAGAAAACAACGCAAGGCGAAAACGTCGTGCTACAAAACATCGTGGGAGAAAACATCGCAAAGAGAAAACATCGCAGTTCTAAAATATCGTGGCACAAAACATCGTCGTCGAAAATAAAGCGGTTCAAAAACTTCGCAGTTTAAAACATCATCGTCGAAAATATCGTGGTAAAAAATAAAGTATCTACAAATCATCGCATGACGATAACATCGCAGACATGCTTTTTTCAGGCTTTAATAACTATAAATGCATATTCCCGTAATGATTTGTGAGCGCAAGATGGAAAGAAGGATAATTTTTTTTTTACTTTCATATTTTTTATTAATCAATAAATTTTTGCTGAGAAAATATAAAGGAAACTTAAGCATAGAAAATTAATGCAACTTATAGCACTTAATAGAATTTTAAACCGACATACTAGTTAACTAACAGAGGTCATTAATAAATAATTTTTTATAAAGTTTTTACTGGTAATTTTTCATGAAAAGTATAATCTATAAGTTGCATTTAATTTTCTATGCTTAAGTTTCCTTCTTACTTTTTCAGAAAAAATTTATTAGTTAATAAAAAAATGTGTAAATAAAAATTATCCTTCTTTCCATCTTGCGCTCACAAATCATTATGGGAATATCCATTTACAATTATTAAAACCTGAAAAAAGCATGTCTGCGATGTTATCGTCATGCGATGATTTGTAGATACTTTATTTTTTACCACGATATTTTCGACGACGATGTTTTTTTAAACTGCGAAGTTTTTGAACCGCTTTATTTTCGACGACGATATTTTGTACCGCGATGTTTTCTCTTTGCGATGTTTTCTCCCACGATGTTTTGTAGCACGACGTTTTCTCCGCGACGTTTTCGCCCGCGATGTTTTCGCCGCGATGTTATCGGCGGACACCGTCTAGTGTAATTAGTCTAATACATTTAGTTGATCAATCCAATCATTTTATATTTTGTCTGATTCCCTAGTTTCCAATATATATATTGATATTACATCTAATTTATAACTAGCACTTATTTTGTATTATATTTAATTATTGGGTTCATAGTTTCCGTGTGCATATTTGTGTCTATGAAACCAGTAGCATATCTGTTGTGTTTTAAGGAATATGTAGTAAGATATTTTTCCCTGTATTTTTTGTTTTAAAGGAAGTAGAAATTAGATGTTATCCTCCACAAGTACTATTGGAAAATTTATTATTTTCTTTTCAACAATTATGTAACTTCTAATGTATGCAGCTAAAGTTTTATTATAAGTGCATTTCCTTTGCTCATTTGAGTATTCTGATTTTAATCCCGTTGTAACTATTTGTTTATATAAAAGTGTGAATCTAGTATTTAATTCATAACAGGATCTATTAAACTGAGGCAACTGTAAATTTTGTATTTAATTAGTTTTTTGTAATTAATAATAATGTGCTCTGTTAACTCTTTTACAAAGTAAACTCTTGAAACTGTTTAGTAAAATGAATCTTTAGTAATTTCCAGCAAATAGGAAATTTAACTGCTAAGCTAAGTCATAATAAATAGCTGTATTTAACATCAGAGCATCGAAAATATATAGTATTATATGTAAAACTGTATATGTGGCACTTTTAAGTTTTTGGAGAATTCTTAAAAATGCCGTCCTGCCTGCTAGCTGTAACCACGGATAACAGGTATTAGATGGCATCTGCCAACATGATAATTACACCGAGAGAATCCTAGGGTCGGTGGTCATTTTGGTAGTTTCCGGGGTGCTTTCCATCAAAAGTGGGAGCAGAAAGGAGCCAAATCGCACTGCCACCTGTTAGGTGCTCAAGGTTATTGCCAACGACAGGCGTAATCTAGCACTCCTTGCCACGAAGTATTTCGTAGGCTTGAGTCTGACTACATCAGACATGTGAGCATAAGCAACAGCAACAGAGTAAAAATACGGAACTTTCTTTCAAGGGTAAATTTGGTCCTCCAAGCAGTTAATTCTACCAGTCACAGAGATGAGCGATAACGCTTTAAGAGAAGATACTACGTCTACAGAGTTTTGGGAAAATATCTGGCAAAATAGGCAGACAGAAGGGACAGGAGGGAAACAAAATAGGTTCTGTAATGGCATGCGTGTGCCCAAATGCCGCGTTGAGGCGGTACAAGGCGCTATTGAGAGGGAGATAAAAGAGTTCTGTTGGTGTGAGTTATTACTCACCGGGAGTATTGCGATTGGGGGTATGCATTGTTAACCGTCGATATGCATTTTATCCATAAGATTGCAGTTTGAAAAGGAGTATTGTTCAAAGTAGTTACATGAAAATCGTGCCTTTAATTTAAGAGCTGATGAAAATCGTGCTTTTATTAACAGCTGCTCCGATTGAGCCGCAGCCCAATACGTATAACTCATGTCGGCTAACTTCGCATATATAGTGATGCATATCCCTCCAAGTCTGGGTGTAGAATGAAAACTTATGCAAGCTGAATTCTTTTTATCTTTTGCTTAACAGCGCCCTGTGCCACCTCAACGCGCCGTTTTGGAACATGCATTCCACTACAAAATCTGCTTGTTCCGGTCTCCTCAATATGGCTTTACATTTTTGAATCCATCAAAAATGAATTGAAATCCATCAAAATTAAATCCATTCGAATCCATCAAAACTATAACGACTGTTCCAAATATAAGGAATAACAGAACATTTAAATGGTGTTTTTAAGGAATTCAAAATATTTTTAGATTTAAATATAAATATTATTTTGAAAGTTACCATAAAAAATGATTATTCCTTTGAAACATAAGTGGTCACGAGTATTTGAGAACTTTTTGATTATTTCTAATTGGTATATTATTATTATTAGAAAATGAAGAATGCAGCAGAATACATTAGACATTAAAAGACTGAGCTTTAGTAAATTCAGGATGTTCTCGACTGAGTTAGCATGTGGAGATAGAATGGTAAAAGAGACTTTTTAAAAAACACTTTGAGCTAGGAAGAAAAAATATTTATATTTTCACGGATGTATAAATTTCTTCAGTCAATCACTTAAGAGTTAGGATATTAAATTTTATAATTAATCGTTATTTATGAAAAGGAAATTGCTCTGTAAGAAGAATTAATTTTTTAATTTATGAGTAATTAAATTGATATAAATTTTAATAATAAAAACAATGCAAGATGTGAGTTATTTTTAAATTTAATTATGCTACGAGTAACAATAGTTAATAAAGCTATGAATAATTTATAATTGAGCATTTCAAATAATTCAAGTTCCCTTAGAAATTAATAATAATAATTGAGTCAATTATTAAATTGGAAACGCGTTTAATTATTACAAAGATAACTGTATAATTTGGAATAGAACTATTATCTAAGATTTTAAGTAATTTTGAGAAAG